AGCAGCTGCTGCTGCTCAGGAGCAGCTGCTCACGAGCAGCAGCAGCTGCTGCTGCTCCTGCTGGTCTTGTTGTTGCTAGCTACAAACAGCAGCAGTTTGCTGCTTGTTTGCTGCTGCTGTTGCTGCTGCTGCTGCATTCTTCAATGGGAGCCTCACTGAAAAATAGTTTGATGCCCCAGCGGTAGTTAGCGCGGCAGCAGCAGCAGCAGCAGCAGCAGCAGCGGCAGGTGCGGCAGCAACAGCAGCATCATCATCTGAAGTAGCACCAGGTGCAGCAGCACCAGCTGCAGCAGCAGCACCAGTTGCAGCAGCAGCACCAGTTGCAGGTGCAGCACGAGCTGCAGTAATATCAGTTACAGCTGCAGCAGCTAGCGCTGCTGCAGCTGCAGCAACAGCAACAGAACCAGCTGCAGCAGCAGCAGAGGGAGGTGCTTTTGGCGTTTTTTCTTTTCTTTGAATTTGCTCGTCTCCACTGTCGCCTGTAGCTACCCACAGCTAGCTGCAGCTAGCTGCAGCTAGCTGCAGCTAGCCAAAGGTAACTGCAGCTAGCCACAGCTAGCTGCAGCTAGCCAAAGGTAACTGCAGCTAGCCACAGCTAGCTGCAGCTAGCCACAGGTAGCCCCAGATAGCGTGGCTGGCTGCCGCTAGCCACAGATAACTGCAGCGAACCCTAGCTAGCCACAGGTAGCTGCAGCTACCTGCAGCTACCTGTGGCTAGCTAGGGCAGCTAGCTGCAGCTGGTCACAGCGAGCCACAGCTAGCTGCAGCTATCTGCGTCCAGATTCACGAAGCTGCAGCACAGCCCACCTCACCCCAAAGCAGCAACAGCAGCAGCACCGAGCGCAACAGCAGCAGCAGGAGCAGCAGAAGCACCGGAACAGGCACATCTAGCAGGAGGAGAGGCGCTGCAGCAGAGAATCAGCCTTTGACTTGGTTGCTGCAGCTAGCTGCAGCTAGCTGCTGGGCAGCAGCAGAAGGATGTAGCAGTTATATATACCCTTTCAGCAGTGTGCGTTGCTGCTTGTGTGGGGTGTACGTACAGCCGAATGCTTGCTGCAGCAGCAGCAGCAGCGGGGGCCCTTAGCAGCCGCAGCAGCATCGCCTCTAGCTAGCTGCAGCTAGCTGACGATGCCCTTTCAAGGAGACGCCTTTAAGGGTCTCCTCAGCCTCTACGCTGCTGTTTGCTTTGAGCTTCGTTAACCTAAACCCTAAACCCTAAACCCTCAGCTGATGCCGCTTCTGTTTCCTATACGCCCGTCAAAGTAGGGTTTAGGGTTTAGGGTTTGGGGTTTAGGGTTTACCAAAGGGCAGCTGCTCTGTTGTTTTTCTTTGAATGCTACAGTTTAGGGTTTAGGGTTTGGGGTTTAGGGTTTATAACTACCACTAAACACTGCAGTTACTGAAACCAGTTGCTGCTGCTGCTGCATTTGCTACTGCAGCACAACAGCCGCAGCTACAGCAGCAGTACTAGCAGCAAACAAGCAGCAAACAGCAGCAGCAGCAGCAGCAGCAGCGACAGCAGCAACAAGAGCAGCAGCAGCAGAAAAAATAAAGAAGAAAACAAAATAACAGCATAAGAAGGAGAGCAATGAACAAAACAAAATAACAACGCCAGACTAACAAAACGACAAAAAGAAGAAAAGAAAAAGACAGTGAAGACACCACAAACAACACCAGCAGCAACAGCAGCAGCAGCAGCAGCAGCAGCAGCAGCAGCAGGAGTAAAGCGTCAAGCGGGCTTCTGCTGTTATATCTCTTAACATCTAAGACAGAATTATAAAAACGAGTAAAATAAATAAAAATAAATTAAATAAATTAAATAAATTAATTTTATTTTAATTTTATTATACTAAAGACAAACCGCAAGCCCCCTCCACATACACCGCAGACGGCTGCAGATTTTCTGGCTGTCTTCTCTCATCTTTGTTTGTTTTATCTGAGTTTTTACACTTAAAAATAAAATAAATATATTTATTTTATTTATTTAACATCATACACAAGACATACACCGCTATAACATACAAAACAACCTTCCCAGCACTGCCCCCTGCATGCTACACTCGAGGGTTTAGGGTTTAGGGTTTAGGGTTTAGGGTTTAGGAGCTTTGCAAGAGAATACTCGCGGGGGGCTCGCTGCCTGTTGGGCTGATCGGATGTGTGTGGCTGCCCCTTCATAAACCCTAAACCCTAAACCCTAAACCACCAGCCCTCCGGCGTAAACCCTAACCCCCCAGACATAAACCCTAAACCCTAAACCCTCAGGCTTAGCATGGCGGATATCCGCAGATTCTTCGCCCCTGAGGGCGCCAGCCAGCCAAAGGATCCAAGCAGCAGCAGCAGCAGCAACGGCAGCAGCAGCAGCAGCAAGAACAGCGGCAGCAGCAGCAGCAGCAAACCCGTTGCTGCAGCTGGCCCCAAGAAAGCCAAAGCAGTAGCAGCACAACCAAAGGAAAAGAAGACAGCAGCAGCAGCAGCAACAGCAGCAGCAGCAGCAGCAAAA